GTGATGGGAAAAAGTAAGATGTGATAGTTTGGTTATTAGTGAAAAAATATGATGTGATAGGTAGGGTATGAAAAAGTAGAGGTAAAAGTGGTTTTCTAATGGAAAGTGGAAGTGTTTTGTGGAAAGCAAAAAAATCGAAAGAAGAAGGGTTTTGTGGAACGGAGGGAGTATATACTATATGTGATTAATTTCCCTGAAGTGAGTTAAACTTGAAATATACATGAAAAGATAAAATAGGTGAGTATTTTGACGTAAAAGTTATATGTATATAATCTCTACACAGATCTAGTGACACACAAATTTGGGAAAAGAACTAACATATATATCAACTGAAAAATTTGATAAACCGTCATTCAAATCTATTTGTTAAATGTTTGTATATATGTTCCTTTCTTTTGGAGTGCATGCTTTTTATTCATGGAGAATCATGTTTGTCTTTATCATTTAAAAATATACTCCCTCCGTCCACAAATAAACTTCCCGTTGCGCATTACGATGTTTGATTGAAGTTATTTTCAAATCATTTTATATGAAAAATGGTGTAAAATTTAAAAATAAAAATTACATATTAAAAAACTCTATCAAAAGATCTACAAAACTAGAGGTGACATGACTATATTATTTTATTAAATGGGTGACGAAAATAGACCAAGAAAGTGAATAAAGTTTGACCCTGTGAATAGTGAACGAGAAATTTATTTGTGGACAGAGGGAGTATTTTATTATTTGAAATATATTTTGGAGTGCATGAATTACATTTTAATATTTGAAAATCTACTAGCATATAGTTAATTTAAGGAAATAATATATTACTATTATTACTCCTTATTTGAATTATTGACTTTTTATTTTAGATGAAAATGCTTGTGTTTTATGTTATTGAGTTTCTTGTTATTATAGCTTTATAGCAGTTATAATTACAAATGAAAAATAGATTGACAATATAGATCACATCTAATTGGAAAAGCATATGTACTGGCTTTTTAAGGAATGTTCACATACTCTGCAGGGAGTGGAAGCAAAGTTACAAGCTCTGAAGAAAAAGTTATCTGAAGGAGATTTCAGTGTCCTTCTCGATATCCGAAACGCAGTTCTAGAACTTTCAGCGCCACCTCAGCTGGTATATTTAAAAAACATTTTCTTAGTTTTTCACACATTGACTATATCTGGATAAGCTTTGCCTCCTATTATAGTTCATGTACACAAGCTATTGCCTTTCGGAAAAGATTATGAAATCATACTTAAGATGATCTAGTTAAGTGTAAAGGTTGGAAGGCTTGCATGTACATACTACATTTCTTTTCCATCTATCTGGGTATTAGGATCCAGATGCTTTCTTGTTCATCAATGTATGGGGTTAGCTTTCTATCTGATATGTGCCAAATTTAAATTTCAGATCAATGAGCTGAAAGACAATATGCAAAATTCTGGCATGCCATGGCCTGGTGATGAAGGTCCAGAACGTTGGGAACAAGCATGGACAGCAATAAAAAAGGTAAATTGCATACCTTTCTGCTATAGCATAACTGAAGTATTAATCCCCCAATCCTATGTAACTGGTGATCAACAAGTATCTGTCCCCATGCCATATTCTATATGGCAACTAATGGACCACTAATTGATAATGTAATATGCACAATCATTTCTCGCCTGGACCAGGTGTGGGCCTCAAAGTGGAACGAGAGAGCATATTTCAGCACAAGGAAGGTCAAACTAGACCATGATTCTCTTTGCATGGCCGTCCTTGTTCAAGAAATAATCAATGCTGACTATGCGTTTGTTATTCATACCACTAATCCATCATCAGGGGATGTGTCCGAGATATATGCTGAGGTGAGTGATGCTATAGGAACTCTCTTTTAATGCTACTATGTCAAGGCTGTATTTTTTAACCGGGTGAAATCAGTCAAGCATGTGAAAAATGATGTATAGTTTTGTACCTACAGTTGATTGTCAATTACCCAATTCTTTATAAAAAATTTTTTTGCAATGCAATGAGGATTTCAGATCCCTTCTATGAGAAATGTAAATTAGGAATCTGTATTTGCTTTCAACATAAGAGTAATAAAATGTTTGGAAGAAACCATGGGAGACTTTATGCATGCTCATTATATTTTGCCTTCGTTTGTGATCAGGTTGTAAAGGGCCTCGGAGAAACACTAGTTGGGGCATATCCGGGCCGTGCTTTGAGTTTTGTCAGCAAGAAGAACAATCTGAACTCTCCTCAGGTGAGTAGCTTGTTCTTGTGTTCTACTTTCAATACTACCTTTCCAAATAAGAGTCATGTTTGAAGCATCTACACGCTGGCAAGTAGTAACAACAACAAAAAAAATCCTATTTATAATAAAAGTCAATCTTCTTCATTTAATTTCCCATCCATTCATTTCATTACTCTACGTCTTGTTTGGTCTCTCCATTTAGTCTCCCTTCCAATTTTTTTAATCAAACAAGGGGAGGGGCTCCTTATCCCTCCCNCTAACAAACTCTAACGGAATTGAGAAATTCTACGAGAGAGAGGGGGATTGGTGTTTATTTTACTATCTGTTTATCTCTTTGTTAGCCTTAGAATGAAAATGACTGCGCTTAGTTAGATCATGTATCTCTATACTCCCGAAACAACTTTACACTTTCTTTTTGAAATATCTAAAAATCAACCTTACACTTCTCCATTTTCTTTTTTAAGAAACAAATTTGTGGTATCATTCATTCTCTCTCTTTCAAATAAATTTCAACTACACATAGTTTTACTTTTCCCCATCTTTTTAACACCTCTCTTAATTTCCATGAAGCCAAACTGTCAGATTCTTTCAAAGACAGGGAGTATAATTTTCATATTCACATTCTTTCCAACCATCTAAATGTAAGAATGTATTACTCCAGACTATTTAAAAAAGCCCCTCTCATCCCTTTCCCTTCTCTTTGAAATCCCCAACCAAACAAGGGCTCAGCCTAATGGGGGAAATAAATGAAATAGTAGGATGTACCTCCCACTATATTATTTATTTCACCTAAAATCATGGTGAATAGAGGGGGAGGTTTGTCTTAATCAATAATAGGAACAGTTAGGCCTCATTTGGGAAGAATATTTTAGCATTTTGGATTATTTTTTAATAGTGCAGATTAACTTTGAAAAATTAGATAACCTTTTCAAAATGCTTAGACTAAACATTGAGGCTGTTTCCAAACGGGCACTTAATCTTACATTATGAATGCAACATTTTCAGATTCTAGGTTACCCAAGCAAGCCCATAGGCCTTTTCATCAGACAATCTATCATCTTTCGCTCCGACTCCAATGGTGAAGATCTAGAAGGCTATGCCGGTGCTGGTCTTTATGATAGGTGAAGCTCAAATACACATTCATTCATACATCTTCTGTTTATTCTTCTATTCCTTTTTTTCCTAAATGAATTTATAATTTTTACCATCATCACGTGCGAATTCGCTTTCTATAGTGTGCCAATGGATGAAGAAGAGAAAGTTGTAATCGACTACTCATCTGATCCATTAATAACCGACAACAATTTCCGCCATTCAATCCTCTCTAACATTGCCCGTGCCGGAAGTGTGATTGAAGAGCTTTACGGATCACCTCAAGACATTGAAGGCGTCGTGAAAGATGGGAAAATCTTTGTTGTCCAGACACGGCCACAGATGTGATTGACCGTACCAGGTCAGTCAAGCTTGCAGTTCATAAATTATTCGCGAAAGATTCAAAAGAGCATTTCTATAGATGCAAGTTACACCAGGGAGATGAAAACATAGAAATAATGCAAAACCCAACAGGTATACATACAATACTTGAATGAATGAATTCTTATTGTACTCATAATTGTGTTGCTGAATTTCATGTATTATAAAAGAATCTTAAATAAAAATTGTTGTATGCGTAACAAGACCTTGTCTGGTTGTACTGAGTTTCATGTCACAAACTAGAGAATTTGTTTGTAAAAATGTTGTCTATATAGAGACGTGTTTGTTTGTAATCCCTTCTCATTTGCTTTTGAGTTTATATATTTCCCAGGACTTGAAATATATACTCACCCGTCCTATTCTTTACAATTACTCCGTACTTTGTATTGTTTATGTGATCAAACTATTTCATTTTTATTTATATAGTTTCATCTATCATTTGATAAAATGGTATAACCACATCGCCTTTATTTTGTAGATATATTTATGTAAATTTTAATATACCTGGAGTATAATTTTATAAACCGTGGTGCAAAGTGTAAACTTCCAATTGAGACAAAGGGAGTATGGAACAATATTTGAAGCATCAACTGGAGGTAGAAATTTAAAAAAATACTAGGTAGGAAGAAAATTAAAAATAAAGTTGAAATATATTGCAATGACTCCTAAATACACATTTTAGGGCTTCGTTGTTGAAAATTTTGGGTTAAATAGGTATTGAAACAGTGATTTTTGGACTTAATTATCAATGAAGTACATTAAGGATTCTGATCGTTAATTGATTATGTCTGTTTTCTTAAGTGACGGGGACATGTTAATATATTATACATCAAAACTTATTAACGAGTGAATGAGAAACTAATTTTAAAGTAAACATGTTGAGTAAAAAAATAATCAAGTTTTGTGAGATTTCTGCCCACATTGAAACTAATCCCATGAATGCTCTAATAGTTAAGTTTTGTAAGAAACCTTACAAAACTTTATATGAGTATAAATGTTCAAATCAATCCATTTACTCTCAGAATTAAGTGATCATTAATCTCCAATTGTAATTTATTTTGAGAATAGTGTCACATTTCGTAATGTGAAGGTCACATTCTGAGTTTCAGACACTTTACAGTGTGTCCTAAAGGAAAATATTACTGCGAAAATTACATTATTTTACTTTTACCCCTCAATATATTCACAACCTCAACCTCAAAGTGCTTAGACGACTGTATACAGTGTTTTAGATTGTCTCTTTTTTTACGTGTTTCGACCATATCAGCTTTTTTGCATCTCCTCCATATTTGCTCTGCGTTATAGCTGCGGAATAGAAATCATGTATTTATAGAGGATGTGAAAGAAAAAGTAACTGATCCTCTACTTTTTAAATGATCCATGGGAGTCCACTTTCTGCTACAGTATAGTGCAAAACTTTTGTATTTTGGACTAGAGTAGAAGATTACACAGGGAAGCTAGTCTAGATGATCATGAAAAGGGGCATCAATAAATATCTACTAATATATCATGATGGAGGCAGGGGGGACAGTAGGGCACTTGCCCCCCCCCCCTCCCCCGAGGCGAATGCAGCAGTGTCCCCGATAACTCAATCTTGCCTCTGTCGGACTGTCAATACATGTTCTGCCACCTACTGCTTTTTAGAACACTGATTGCGATCACACTCGTATCGGAATATACTTATCCATGTAAACATAGATTTGCCCTTTCATCATTTTCAAGAAAATACTGACCTACCAGATCCCAAAGTTGGGGAAAGCATGATGAGCATACCCGGAATAAAACAAGTAATCTTTAGCTAATCCGAGTCCTCGATGTCAATTGCGGGCATCCTACGAAACCTTGCAAGAATTCGAGAACGGGATATTTCTCTAGACTGTGGGGCCTTCGATGATCTCTTCCGTTTTTCAGAAAATCCTGGTCCAGATAAAGCATTGGACAGTAGCAGATCGGCGCCTTGTTTCCCTACAATACTGTTGGCTTTATCCATCGAATGCCTGTAATATCAAAAATCAAAATTGGTTACCCAGTGGGACAAAAGGCCAGAAATAAAAAAATCCCAAATAAAAGGAAAAAATGGCATTAAGCTTCCAAATTCTTCAAATCAAATACTATATGCAGGTAAGACGATCTGTACCGTTCACGGATGATCTTGAATGCCTCTTTAGTTGCATAAGAGAGGCCAGTCTTTGGGTCGCGATACCTGAATGGTGAGAATCAGACTGAGGCACTTAGAAAAAAATGTCTACAAACTAGGTGTTTCTCAGACACATTCTGTTGGGTGATATACAATCACATGATCGCTTGAAATAAGAGAAACTAAAGGCAGTTTGTAGTTGGAAAGAAGGGCAAGTACTCCACCCATACTTTAAGTCATTGTTTGGATGGGGGGAATGAAAGGGAAGCGGAGAAGCTATAAACTATCCAAACTCCTCATATCTCACTTCCCCGCAAACCAAACAATGGCTAATAGAAGTTCATATTTGATTTCAGTTATGTGGTTTTATCAATTTTAGATTTTTAAAAATGAAGTGTCTCAACCCACAGGTAGTCCTCACAAGTCAAGGGTTACTTAATTGATCGTCACATTGTATACTTCATTAGCCAATTTTTTATTTTGTGCGTGTGTGGTGTGGTGGGGGGGGGGGGATCTTACTTTGCAGGAAGCCCAGTCACTGCACACACTGCCTTCTCTGGGTCTGTAAAGATGAAAATTTGTCAATAGTAGAGGGAAAGAGAGAGATGCTACCTAAAGTCACAAAGTTGCTTCCACTAGTATAAGTTGGCATTAAACAAAGCTTTCCTAACACAAAAGCAAAAACAAACCTGATGCTGAACAGGGGAAAGCTTGTTAGAATTATGAGGTGAACTGTTATCAGCATATGCAGTTATCAACCTACCCCACATCTTAGATCCATTGTACTACGTATTTACAAATAAACAAAATTAACTATTTTACAACATACTTGTGGTGTTGCACGTAAAGCCGTCTTGTGATTTAGATGGCTCCAATTATTACATCATGAAGATGATAGACCAACTTTGAAATTTAGAAACACCTTACTTACATGGAAGAGATATGGTTGATATCTCCGACTCAAATGATGCCCCATTGTTAAATTCTAGGTATGAACACCCTGCACAAATTTTTTAGTTCAAAAGCAAAATCTTAAATGAAAAAAATTGAATTATCACAAATATCTAAATAAATGTGGAGTGTGAACATCTTGGAACAGTAGCACAGCGATTGAAAAAAAGACACCCTTGGCTGAATATTTACGGATACTGTCCTGCATAAGACTTACCATCTTTTGAAAGATATCTTATCTGAGGGCCACTATAGACTGCTTTATGAACAATGGCTCTTTTCTTCACTTCTTCTTCCCTTGCTAAAACCTTTTCCAAATTCCTTAGATTCATTATCTCTGAAAGAGAGATTTAAAATCCATGTAACAGGCCACAGATTCAAAAAAACTAATGAATGAAAAGTTCAAAGCATCATAATAACCTGTCTGTGCTGCCTCCAGGAGCATCTCTTCTTGACTCATTTTTTTCTCTTCGCCTTCTTTTTTCCTTTTTATTGGCTGTTTAAGAATCATCAAGGATAAACTCCAAGAATAGTCCATTAAGAATAGTGATAGAAGCTGGTTTATACTTAAAAAATTACTTAATATCCTGCTAAATCCAAATGGTTAACCAATATCTAGTCTTCTAGATTAAATTTTGTATTTCTCATTTAATACAATAACAACAACAACAAACCCAATATAATTCCAACTCCATTGGGATCTGGGGTCAAGATGTACGCAACATTACCCCTATAGAAAACAAAGAGGTTGCTTCCGAGACCCTTGAAGCATTACTTCATTTACGGCTCAAAACTTCATAGAAAAGTAAGCAAGAGAAGTTTAGGTGTCGTTTCAATTTAGTCCATTATTTGCCCAAAGCTAAAACATTAGTTAGTCCATTGTTTGAAGGAGATAATAATGATTAAAAAACAACAAATCCTTCATAAAAAATCATCCAACCTTCATTGTTGCTTGCAACGCTGCACGTATTGCATCCCTTTCCGCTTGTCTTACAATGACAGAAGTTCTTGTTGATTTTCTAATCATTCTCTCCTCCTCAACATCATCAGATGCATCATGATGCTCAGAAGGTGTGGATGGCTCAGGATCTTTTTTGTCTCCAGATGTTGTCTCTAACATAGAGAGTGGTTTCTTTTTCTTTTTCTTCGTTCCCAAAGATTTTCCGGGAAATATCAACCTCTTTTTTGCCCGATGCCTAGAATAAAAGTAAATTCTTCAGCACGCCCGGAATAAAATTTGGGTATGTTCCATCCATCTGACTAGAATGACTCGCGGTACCTTTCATCTGGTTCATTCTCCCGTTCTTCATCCGGCTCGGGCTCCTAAACAAAAAATGGATGAAATTGAAGACACCAAACATTATAAAATTACCAATGTAGACATTCAGCACAGCGGCAGTCAAGGCTAGGTAAGAAAAAAAATGGGAGCTTACATCTTCATCGAAATCACTGTCGAAAACATCAGCTACTTCAGCCTCTTCTTCATATTCTTGATCGATATCCTCCTGGTAGACACAAAACAGAAGTCATCCAAGTGGCCTAGCAACCCAGCCAGTATAACAACTGTAATCACGGATATCACAATTGATCAATGGGTGCAAAATAACAGCAAAAAAAACTAACCTCTTTAAGGGCGTCTTGATTCCAGAACTGTTCATCATCTTCTACCTCCTCATCTAGCAATTTGGTCATCCTAATCATTCGAACAAAAAAAAATCACATAGAAATCAAATCAAGCAAGTTACAAAACAGACATGAAAGCAAACGAATCAAGGGGGGGGGNNCTCAGTGGCAAGTACTTTGTTGCGCGTTTATATCTCCCCCGCCGCAGCCCCAATCCAGTTCAAGTTTGAATCTTTTGACCCAATTCTCGGCGTCCGTATATATGTAAATCTCCGAGAGGTTTTGATCGATTCAATGTGACCGCATTTCATCAACTGTTCCGTTTCGAAGGCGGAGGAAGAAGATGATCATACACGAATCCGGGTCAAGAACTAGGGAGACTCGGATACCCGGGTTTCTTACGTGGGTTTAAGATTTTTGCGATAAATAAATAAATAAAATATTTATTTGTTCTTACACATCTCATGTCCCAAAAATGTTAATGCTCTCTATATTATTACAATAAGGTTCCCATGACATTGGAATCCAATGTTATGGATGACCCGGGGCCGCTCCGGTGCCTCGTTTGTAAAATTGACGGTTCCTACCCCCTTAACCCCCCGGTAAACCCCCCACCCGGCCCCGACCCGAACACACCCCCCTACCCCCGTCAATTGCACCTCACAAGTTGATTTTGACTTTGGAGTCAAAATTTGACTCCAAAGTCAAAATCAACTTGTGGGGTGCAATTGACGGGGGTAGGGGGGGTGTTCGGGTCGGGGCTGGGTGGGGGGGTTTACCAGGGGGGTAGGAACCGTCAATTTTACGAACGGGGCACCGGAGCAGCCCCGGGTCATCCCATGACATTGGATTCCAATGTCATGGGAACCCCACCCTATTATTATGATGTCTATTCCTTTAAATGTTGCAACATAACTCAACATTCAACAGAAATTATATTTTTGTATTACTCAGTATGTGATAACACATCAAAAGTGAGACATGAAAATTAAATAAATTTTTAAACGCTCATAGAAAATCTTATACAGTAAAAAATTAGTTATAAATCACTATCTTTAGATATTCATTACAACAATATTATCCAAGTATCCCAAATAATAACTTATGTCCAATGGTGAGAAATTTTTGAAGAGTAAGTTGATGGTATCACCTTAATTATTCATACTTTACTACCTTATATCTTTTTGGTCTCGTAAAAATAATGAAAAGCATTCTTTTTTAGTAAATTTTAAAAATAGCGCCTAATTACAAGTAATTTTTATTATTTAGTCTCTAGTTCTTAGATATTCTATAAATAGTTTTCAACTTTTAAAAATTATTCTATAATCACATAAATAATCTTTAATTTTTTTAAATTATTCCATAATCAATCCTTCATTGACTATTTGTGGAAAAAATATTTTTTCACATTTGACCTAAAGGGCTATTTACAAAATAATTTTCCAAAATTGAAAATCTTTTATGAAATATCTAAAAATCAAAAATTAAATATGGAAGACTACTTGTAATTAAAAATCATATATGTAATGTTCAGCAACTAGCATTTCATATCAATTCATATATTTTAATTTCAAAATTTGAAATCCTGAATTTCAAATAACAATGAGAGGTGCATAAATTTCAAATTAAACTTTATTATGAATGAAAAGAATTTGATTCAAATCCAAATTCAAAATTTTAAATTTCCAAACATGAAATTTGTACCAAATCCGAAATTGAAATCCAAATCCACATTCCCAAACATACCATTATGGAATTTACTCTTACATTTTTCATGTACCAAAAAAAATTAGTTTTTTTTCAAAGCAATGAATACGTGACTAATTTTTTCATAAATCTTTTCTTCTTAACAAATTCTAACTACTTTTCCTTTTAATCATCAACATTTTTCTTAAATTTGGTGGCCAGACACATCAAATTTTTATGCACTATATTGTCATGTTCAGTAAATTCATTCATCAAAATAACATATTGGTACGAGGTTCTAATAGGGACTGCAATTCATTGTTGCTCATATGCAAGTAAACAACAAAATAACTCAGTTTGTCAAAGTAGAATCCCACATAAGTAGGGTCTGAAGAGACTAGACTAACCAAAATTTTATTTGTTGCCAAGGAAAAAACAACCCCATGGCCTATACAAAAATATAAAATGTCCATATCAATACAGAAAAATATGGATCAACGGATCATCAAGAGAACAAGATGAACACGCAAACATCACAAACACGAAAAAAAGGGTGTATAAATAAATATATACATATATGAAGAACGTTGATCCTCGTTCAGTAAGAAGGTTCAGGGCCATCATGGAGGGCACAACAGACTGTTGCCTTGTGATGCCCTTGGTACACTTTGATGTCTTTACCAGTTGACAGTGACCACAATCTTGCCGTGCTATCCGAAGATGCTGCAGAGAAGACACCATATTAGAGAGGAACTGGCCCCAATTCTCCACTTTCATGGCTAAAGATGGGAAACCCTAACATTGGGTGATCTAAAAGCGAAAACTTGGTTTTTTTAATGAACATATATAGGCTACGTTTAGCACAGCATAAGCCATAAGCTAATTTATGGCATATATAGCTATTGGTTTCTTAAAAAAATGTTTGGAATATGATTTGTTTGGTTGACTGAACTTATTTCATAAGCTTCATGGAGTAGCTTTCCAAATTTAAGCTCATGGGTTTATTTTACATTATTTTAGCATATGTTTTCATGCCTTTTTTATTATTATTTTCAACTAGTTTCTCGATAAATCATTCACACTACACGAAATGGGTTGCCAAGCATAGCCTTCGATCGGTACCTGTGATTAGAAAAGCACCATCCACGGAGAAAACACAGTCCCAAACCCACCGCTCATGTCCTAAAAAATACACACAAATGCCACAAGACACAACTCACATTTAGCCTATGATAAAGAGTAGAAATAATGCTGGTTTTGAGTATAGTATCGAGTACCTATGAGAGTTTTCTCCAAGGTAAATCCGTCCACATTCCATATTTTGACGGTATGATCAGAAGATGCAGTTGCCAGATACCTACAGATGAGATCCCAGTATTCTTAGGATATGCTCGAAACGTGGAAGTTGGTAGGTTAAAGAACGAAAATGCAAAGAGAAGGCATTCTTATGTTCGGCTATAACTCAGAAAATACACATGTTTAGATTTCTTAGAATTTATATGATAGAAATACATAAACATAATGAATTTGAAGAAACATTAAAAACTAATTGACTTTAACTACGATGCTGTTTTGTCCTCCACATTTTCTTTTCTTCTCGTTTTCTCCTATATTTTCCTCCTATTTTGTTTCCCTAGCATTTCCAAGTTCCAAATGGACCCTTCCTAGACATAGTAGTGATATAGGAAGGAAAATTTGAAAGAAAGTAAACATAGGGGGAAATTAAGAGATAGCCTAAAACTCAATAAATCTCATTAAAATATTTTTTGGAACTCATTTTATTTTTTTATATTCTATTATTTAAAGACTAAAAAAGCTATTTTTTAAACAATCATTTTAGTTTTTCTTTGCATTTCCCAACGGAAAACCCGATTGCCAGACATTAGATAATTTCCTCACTATTTTTTTCTATTTCCCTGGCATTTTGCAGGATAAAAACAAACGCCCTAAGAGATCCATTCAGATCCCAAAAAATACTACAAAAAGAAAACATGAAGGAAAAATAGAGAGGAATTTGAAAGAAAGAAAGAACATGTGAAGGGAAAACAAAGATAGGATGAAACTCAATAAGCTTGTCCTGGGTATTTATTGATATCCATTTTATTTATTTATTTATTTCATGTAAATAAAGACTAAGAATTTAAAAGTGTAGAAATGGTTAGTAAAAACCCACATTTCATCTTCCTTTTATTTTCCAAAATAAAACCAAACTAAAGAGAACTTTCTGTAGCACTTTTTTTCCATACCATTTTCAAGAATTCAAACATACAAGAGTTCAAAAAGCCGCACAAATCTGAAAAAATAACAACAATAAAAAATGATATATTCTAGAGGTGGCCAAGAATGTCTAACCGGTGAGGTTCACACAGCTCAGGGGAAAGAAGACATTTGAGGATGTATCCATCATGCGCTTGTAACTTATGTAAGGGCTCAAAGTTGGTCATGGTCTTCAGTTAAATGAAAAGTCAATATCAGTAATGTATATCGATTGCCTTCAAAAAGAGGTGAAACGGAGAAAAACTAGATTTATAAAAGATGCAAATAAAGGAAAGATGCTTTAGTGAGAGAACAAATCAATCAAATATTCAAATCTTATAATGTTATTGAGAGAACAAGATTTTTGTCTAACAAAAGAGTCTTGTTTGATCGAATGAAGCTAATATTTCTTTTAATACTAAAAAAGAGTCACAACTTACAAACAAGTTACACATGGAAAAATTCAACCAATAAAGAAAATTTTAAAAACACAAGATGACATTATTTATGACCGTTGTACCTTACCAAAATAAAAAATCTCCTATGGTCATACATGACTTTTTTGACATAAGTCGTACTCCCTCCCTACTAATTTGGGGAATAGGGTAGTGGCAGAAATATTACAAAATACATATTTGGTTGGTTGATATTGATGTCGAAAAGAATGAAAAAGAATGAATTTGAGCAACACACACATTGCCAAATCCTCAATGTAGTATTGAACAAAAATAGTACAAACAAAAAAAGTAACAAAAAGAATGGGATAAAGAGGGTAAAGAGTGGCAACAATAGTGAGACAGATGCATTATATATTTAGTTATTTACTGAGTTTATCCTTCTAAAAGTTGGCTACGCTAAAGTTAAATGAAATGTTTGCAAATCTTTGGTACAAAAAAAAGTACAAAGAATGAGGAGCTGGGTGTGGGTGTGCTACTGTAGTCACCTGAGTTCCACGCAATAAACGCCAAACATAACATGTTCCATGATTGTTCGCAGCCACAACCAAGCTTCCATCCCACATTACAGTCAGAGACCTAATAGCAGTATCCACCTCAGGAACCTGAATTTCTCAAATAAACAAATAAAAACGTAAAAATAGTTGTGGCTTGCATAAACAATATATTAGCAACATATTACACAAACAAAATGGATAATGAGTTCCCATAATCAGATGTTTAATTGTGGATAAATTTAATGTTATGTTCACTGTATACCAATTCACAGCTGCATGCATTTGCTTTCAAGTCCCAGACTCTAATATTTCCATTCTGGTCACCAGATATAAGCTCAGTCTGCAACAATTCCGAAGAATGAAATAACAAAACAGGCAATAAAGCCCAAGCCCGGATACAACTATGTAGATTTCTTGTAGAAAACATTACTCATATTTTTTAAAGAACAATGGCAAAAGATGAATTTATAGTGTTAACCAATTTTAGACAACTAATTCCAACAAAACCTGGTTTGGATGCAAAATAACTGTGTTAACAGCTGCGCGGCTTTCATATTCTCTCTGAAATCCTGGTGCCCTGTTTTTATTTAAAAAAATACAAACTTATATTAGAAATGACAATATTAATAGAGAAGATACAAAATGCACTTGACATCTAATGCCACCTCAAATCCCAAATCTTTACTGTGCCGTCTTCAGAACCAGAATACATCCAGTTACCATCACATTGAAACCCTACTGCCATAACATTGCTAGTGTGTGAGTCAAAGCTTTGTACCTTCCATAGAAGCAAGATGTTTTTTATTAGGAGAATGAAAGGGCATAGGAGCATAGTTATATATTTGAAAAATTATAAATGGAGACCCAAAAAATGGGAGAAAGATCCAGATATTTACAGGTTGATGATTGTTAGAATTGATGTCAAACAATCGGATGTGAGGATTGCCTGCTGCAGCCAAGAAATGTTTGTCCGGCGTAATCTCAACCCGATTAACTTGCTATTGCAAAAGATATTACATAGAAGATGCATCAGATTCCACTAGTAAAAAAAATGGAAATTACTTTAAAGTTCAAATCCCCATCACGTTTTTCAGTGCAGATACTAAACCGATTAGTTGTTCACATTCGAATTTCTACCCAAATATATCAATGCAGCAAAGTTCAGGAACATGACAAATTATACAGTTCACGGTACCAGATTACCCTTTTCCATAAAGCAAAACGACAATGCGGTCTTAGGATGACTTACTGATTCTGGGTATTGGATGGTCCGGTAACAGCGGGCACTTTTCGCCTCCCAAAACCGAATAGTGTGATCATAACTAGCTGTTGCTAGCAAAACTGATGGTTGTGCCATCTTAATTCCCTTCCTCCTATTTGAAGATTAAAAAAAGGAATCAACTTTATGGGTGCACTGAATCCAATATATACATATATTACCCACACATATATGAAATGCGATTAGATTAAAGAAAATGATACGCTTCAAATGGTTTTTGTTCATTAAAAACAACCTGAGAAGCCGGCTAGATGTTAGATGAACAAATTGGGGATTTCGAGATGAACTAGGGTTTTGAGAGGGTTACAAAAGGGGGAGCAGTGCGGAAGCTGAAGAACAAGGGCCGATCCCATAGTAAGCCTAAACAGGAAAAAAATGGATTAATTTTCAGCTCTGTACCGAAAGGATCGAAGACTGATGTTCATCTCAGATGGCAAAGTGGGGCGGGTAAATTTGGATATGGCGCCCACCTGCTCGCTTGGAGTGAGGATGAACAGGACTCTGCCCTGGGGTTTTGGTTCAAATGGAAAAGGGATCAGGCGAAAGGTTTAATGGGGACTGGGTGTTCATTCGCCATTAGGTAAAACCAAGTCTTGGTGAAGAAGACCTGTAACTAGTAGAGTGAGGGTATGAGAATATGAGATGTCCATGGTTAATGAGTTTGGGTTATTGGGTTGGATAGAATTATAGAATCTTAATACTCCCTCCGTCCTATAATGTTATTTCCGGTTCATTTTACGAGATTTGATCGATTTTATTTTCAATTCAATTTATTTAATTGTAAGTGTAAAATTAAAAAATAAAATTTATATATTTAAAAATACATCAAAAGCTCTACAAAACAAGTGATGACAAGACTATATTATTTTATCTAATATCTAATAAAAATAGGTAAAGAAAGTGATTAAAGTTTGACCGAGTAAAAAGTGAGTAGGAAGAACATTTTAGGACGGAGAGAGTAATTCGGTATTGTGTAAAAACCTAATCACCAATTATATTTCGTAAAATCGAACTGAAAAATTAATGTATCAAAAAATAAAAATTTAATATCGAACCAAAATTTTTTATCCGATTTTGTTACATACCAATAGATTATATTTCATAAAATTGAACTGAAAAATTAATGCATCAAAAAGTAAAAACTTAATATCGAACCAAAACTTTTCATCCGATTTTGTTACATACCAAAAGATCTGTTGGTTTGCCAAATTCTGCACACTTTTATTGGCAGCGTACAAGGTCTTTGGATTTGACCCCTTGTACATATATTGCAATTGAACTCCACTGCCATTCCCGGTAAGGATGCAAAAATACCAATTCGACATTGTTCTAAATTAGACGACGTTGTACCAAACCAAAAAGTGAGTTTTCAAATGATTCTAGTAACTATATTCCGAACCGAATCGAACTATTTTTAAAATGGTACGGGACATGTTCCCAAAGAATAAAAATTGAAAATACTGAACTGAACCGTTACCACTTAAACTTATTTTATTACCCCAGAGTATAACTTAAATTATGATTTAATTTGTTGAAAATAAAAGTAAAATTATGTTTTATGAAAAGTTGTACTCAACTTGTAGCTGGTCATGAGTAGTTAGTTTTCGACTACTTTGTGGAGGTCCCCGTCTATACTAACGACCAATTCAGGCGTCGATTCCGTACGAGTCAACGGTCATTTCTCCGTATTGCTGATGACTTGGCAAATACAAACCGATTTTTTACTTAACAATCCGATGCGAGATTGAGAGGGGGGGGGTTACAGCGTTACATAAATGCACGGCGACAATAAGACAACTAGCGTACGACACAAGTAGTGATTCGTGGGATGAGTATCTTCAGATGTCAAATAGAACGACCCAGGAATGTTTGTACAAGTTTGCCAAGAGTGTCATCATGCTATATAGCAAACAATATTTGCGTAGACCAACACGAAGAGACATTGAGAAGTTATATGCCTCCCACAATGCTAAACACGGATATCCTGAAATGTTGGGCAGTACCGATTGTATGCATTGGGCATGGCATAACTGCCTAAATGTGTGCCGTGGTCAATACACACGCGGTGATCACAGACATCCGACAATAATGCTTGAAGCTGTGGCATCGCAAGATATTTGGGTCCTGCATGCATTTTTTTGTGTAGCGGGGCCGAGTAACGACTTGAACGTGTTGAATCGCTCCATTCTTTTCGCCAACACCATAGAGGGTGTTGCAACCGACTCTCCTTTTACAATGTCGGGGGTGGAGTACAAACACGATTACTATCTAGTTAACAGTATATACCTCGAGTATGCGGTTATAGTGAAAAGTTTACCATTTCTTGAAGATGAAAAGAGGAAGAAATCTACGACGTACTAAGAAGCAGCAAGAAAAGATGTTGAACGACTCTTTGGTGTGCTAAAAAAACGGTGGCATATTGTGCGAAATCCAGCGCGTCCTTTCACACTCAAAAATTGACACATTATGTATGCTTGTATCTTGTTATACAACATGATACTCGAAGACGAAGGGCGTGCAATATGCGAGTACAAAATGAAGTTGTTGATAATGTTGTGTCAAATATGTTGGCATTACATAATTGGGAAACACATCACTGCCTCCGCGGCGATTTGATAGATCACATTTGGTCTATGAACGAGTAATTTTTTTAATTCTAGTTTTTTTCATAATTATTTCTTAATTACGTTTGTAATTATTTTAATTATGCATCAATCTTTAATTAATGTCTCATTTTAATTATATTCTTTTTTCCATAATTATACTCTTTTATTTATAATGAATGAAATGCTTAATATAAATTTTTAGATCTTAAAGTATCCAATTATTATTTAATGTTCTAGTTTATTTAATTATTTAAATTAAAATATTAGTTGTAAATGAAATGTTATAAAAATAGTATTTTAAAAAAAATAAAAAAAGAATAAGGATGGAATGATGATGACACCCCTAGATGAGGATGAGATGGAGAAAACTGATATGATGCTGAGTTAGAAGTTGAGATGGTGAGGATGCTCATGATGGCACCCCATAGTCTTAAGATGTTTTTTCCTAGTTTAAATATATGACAAGATTTATAGTGTAGTTCATAGAGTACACTCCGTATAATAAAATATTCTTGTCGTGTTTTGTTTTATAAAACTTTGGATATAATTTTTAAATATATAAATTTTATTTTATTACTAATTTGTAAATTAACATTACTAAGAATCACAAGATTTTGCATATTTTACTCCGTATTTGCAAAAGATTGAAGCAAATTCTATGATGGACCCGAACAAAACAAGCATTTCTTAACTAATTAAATAATCATTTAATTGTTTAAATAAAAAAATTAATGTGATAAAACCTACAAAATTGATATGCACCTAAAGTGCACCAAAAAGAACTCAAAGATTCATGGTGGACTTGGATTCATAATAAGAACTTTTTTAAAAGATGTTTTTAGAATTAAGCTATATGTACATCTAAAATTATACTTCAAAAGCATGTACCAACATTTTGTGGTATTGCAATAAACATTTTTTTGACTAAACTAGCATTTTGTGCCCGCATTAAATGTTAAAATACTAGTGCAATGATTGGTGTTTTTATCACATAAAAAACGAGTGAAAAATTCCATTGAAATCATATCAGATTTGACATAAGTGATATTCTATTTTGCAATGAATGTGATGGAGCTACCCAAAGAATATGTGTAATTGTGGTGCACAGAGGCCTAGAAAGATTCAGTGCCCAAACCGTTCGTTCCATTAGTACCCAGTAAAACAAAGGAATTTGTCTTTATTTTTATTCTCTACTCGGAGTATTATTTTTAGAGGCGAAGTCTTTGTACATAATTTTGGTGGTTAGGGACTTGCAGAGTTGCAGTTTTGGAGTACTAGAAATTTATACGGGGAGTACTTTGGTAGTAAAAACTCAATATTCCGTACGAAGATCTTTCTTCAATGCTAAGTTTTGCAGAGCATTTTTCATCTGAAAATTTAATCCTCATCCACTCAAAACAGTGGCACATCCATATATATAAATATGAACAAACATGAAGAACAAACTCATTCCACGAATCACAAGCATGTTCATCAAGCTCAGTTTGTTCAGCTTCGTGCTACTCAAACCCTTTGTGAGGCAAAATTTTGGGCCAAAACTCATTTCACAGCATAATACAGAAGCAGAGCATTACGAATTAGATACAGAGCAATTGCCAAACAGGGAATAACTCCAATAACACAGAATCACGAATCGGAACAGAGCAATTTATACAAAAACCAACGATTTCATATTATATAAGTGTGAATAATTCTCAGGTATGTGATATAAATAATGATAATAATATCTGCGGCTCAGATCATCGCCTCAAACGGCAACGCCGAAAACCAAGCAGACGAACGGTAACAATAATAACAACGTAACTGTGTAATCACTGGATGAAATAGCAGTAATTAAAGTAAAAAAAAATACATAGCGGAATAGATCGACGAACATTGAAATCAGTGCCTGAGAAGAGCGGAAACAGAGAGCAGGAGAGATCCTACGATCACGACGGCGGAGATCGGAGAGGCGAAGGCGGATCCGGTCACAGGAGCCGGTGCTGGGGCAGAGACTGGCTGAGCGGAAGCAACCGCGGAGAAGACGGCGAGCACGGCGGCGATGAGGAACGCCTTGGCGATGGTGAATTGGGCCATTTTCTTTGAAGGATGAGAGGCGATTTCTTCTTCTGATGAGGGGGAGAATCTGAGAGATGTGATCGTTTTTAGGGTTCCGATGAGAAACAGGGAGGGAGAAAGATGCGTATTTATAGGAGGAGGTGGTGGGTGTATGCGCGTGAATTGGGAGACTCCGAAGGGAGCCGTTAGCCTAACGGCGTAGTCAATACGAAAAGGGCAAAGTCAAAAAGCAAATGTGGAAAGCGGAAGTTTCGCGAGGTTTGAACGTTACGGCGCCGTGAAAGGTGGGAGGTGGACACGTTGCGTTCTGTGGTTGGATCGAGCTGTCCAGAGCCTACAAAACACATGTAAAATTTTCTTCACATGTACTGTTGCATGATCCTGCCAACTAGGCCCATTTTGTATCTATTTGGGTCTAAATATATTCTTATTAAATATTTGGACCCAATTAAAATTTTAATCGATGAAAATATACAAATAAATAAAATTTCTTGTAACATTTGAATAGTAAATTATGAGATCCTTTTTAGACAAAAGAATAAAATACACCATTCTCTTAAAATATGATGATAAATTCTTTTGTCAATTTTAGGTACACGTTTATAAGTTTATTATATGGATGTTGATACATAAAATTATTGTATGTAGTGTGTTTTGTAAAATGAAAAAAATTCAATTATGAGTCAATTAAAGATAGGTCAAATATTTCCAATACCCCCCTCGTGATTTAGAAAATTAGTAGAAATACCACTTCTGTTTTTAAAATTTATTTTTAAATCTTAGTATTTCAAAATGTTGCACGTACACCTCATCTAATTATTTTCTAGCAATTTTCTGACAAAAAAGAGATATTGGTGCCTAATTTCTAAATCATTTTTAGTTTATTATTTTATTTTTCATTTTTAACTCTCTTTTATCTCTTTCTTCCCTAGAAAAGTTTTTTTAAATTGACGGTCGAGGGTGGGTTGGGGTACGGTTCTGGGGTTGGACCGTCTGTGGCGTGTCCATAGGGAGGGTGTCGGGCTGTCGTCCGTGACTGGTGGGACGGGTCTAGGGTTGGACCGTCAGTGGGACAGGAGCATGTGAGCCTGGGCTTGGAGGAAAAATATGGGTTATAGGAGAGGGTGACGGGAGGGATGACAATTTGGGATATGGAAACTGATCCTCGACGAACCGAACATGACGAGAGACATAAACTTTTTGAGACACGGGTTCATAGCATTTATACCCTTTAGTGGTGGGATGATATCCTAAGAAGACACAAGGAGTGGAGCGTGGTTGAAGTTTGTGGTGAGTGTAAGGGCGGAGCCATGGATAGACCAAGCAACCAAAGGCACGAAGGTGGGTATATGTAGGAGGACGGTTATAAAGAGTTTCAAA